GCACAATTAAGAGAGATTCACGTATCAGTATATTACAAGTGCCGAGTTCGCGAGCACTTTGCTAGCAGAGTGCTCTCAGTTGATAATAACCGCATACAAACCATGTCTCTCACTGTCAGCACCTGCATAAAAAGAGTGAAGCAAAAGTGGATATGATCGATTAAATCGACGAACGACTTTATTAATGTAATTATATTGCTACACAGCCCGAGTCAGACTTACTTCCTCGTAGTCATCTAAACGAACCGCCTTCAACAAAAAGTTCAGCCGTTCCTATTAGCTAGCATCTGACATTATTATTCCAGCATCTGGGTGGGAAAGGTCGATTATTAAAAGTTAATACAGAGTTAACAAAAATCTAATAATATCTCTGCATGAATCTTAAGATATTCTAACCCGAGAGTTAATTTCCACGAATATGTGCTCCTCCGTCCAAATATTGCAATTTAAGAAGAGGCTTAGTTCAGAGATATCGAACCACTTCTTATGAATGCTATTTGTTCGAAACAATTATAATACGCTATACACAACTTTATTAATAATTTCACGATATTAGAAAGCCGAACCGTAAGACCGTTTAGCCGCAAGTTGCGGGTGTGGGGGCATCATGGAGGAGTTGCTAGTACAGAATGTGCGTAACAAGTCAAGTTGTGCAATAGCAGCACAAGCCACAAAGCTTAAAGCAAGATAGTTGTTTATTTGAGGTCATGATAAAAAGAATCTCGAACAGGTCAACGGCATGATAGTGTGGGAAGTGCAAACATCTTGTGCTCGTTTGTTTAATTTAGCTAGCTTAAGAACTAATTCGAATTTTCTTAGTAAAAATTAATATGATCGTCAAAAAAGCTAAGTATTGTTCTGCTATCGTTGAACAAGCTTTACCAAAATAGGATTCTGTCACAATTTAAATAAGCTTTCAACACTGTTTAGTATTAGTGATCTTCTGCAATCATATCGCTTAGATGTCTTTGTACGCCTGTTTTCAGATAACATAGACATAATTCTAACATATTGTTGTAATGAATTAAGGTATCCAACGAAATACTAGTCTCATGAAAGAATTTGAAACTGTACTATAAGATTATGTTGTGTACAACGTATGGATAGTTTGTAATATATTATTAATTATTATAGTTTATTTTTAGATTGAATATGCTTTTCATCCCTTAGTGACATAGTCATCGCATCAATAATTGAGGAAAGTTAGATTATTACTATGTTAAGAATCGATTATCATTTGGGAATTTTCGATCTTACACTTTTAAATACATACGTATAAGCAAGGTCTTTGTTTCGATCCTGCATTCTTTACTAATATTAAACTGTCTTAGGGACCTTATCAAGTTACAACAATAATATGGCTGCACAAACATGTTGGTTGTGCACTATGTGTACCACCATTTTTAGAAGTACAAATTGCAGGATTGTCAGCTGACTTGAGCTTACTCGTCATAAGCGAACTAATGTTTGTTACACTAAATTCTCCCGAAGTTAACCTAAAAAATAATATTAATTATTTGCATCAATGAATTCCATCATGGTTAAATATGACGTCTTACATATTAATTTATAATGCGGATATACGAAATGCCCTTCTGCGTGCATGTCTGTTGTAATACGGGTTGATCGATCATCACGGGTCCTATGTTACTGCAAGAGACTCATTATTACATACATAGAAGTCGAAATAGAAATGAATTGTTTGTAAGCAAAATCTGTGACTTTACGAATGGCTTTTAGTTATTTCGTGTCCTTCTCCGATATAACGAGCTTCATACTCACAATTAAACAATCCCATTTACCATGCAGTCTTCATTAAGTAACACATTTCTTTTATTGATGACTCTTGAAACCGAGAAAAGGAATGTCTGGACACAAGTGACTTTCGGTTTTACCGGAAAATTCCGTTGAGATAATCTCTGAAAGAAAGTTTATTGAAATCACTATTCAATATAAATTGTCGGTCCTATAAAAATAAAACTTGCTTTCATGTTTACTAAATTAGCATATATTTGATTACACAAAGTTAGTATTACGTGTGGGTTGCAAGTGTTTTATACAATACTGCGTGCTATTCTATATCAACCCACTAATGTCAGGTGACCACTTTTTTTTTTTACATATTCATATTAAGAAATAGAAATAACATTGCCCCATAAAGTAACCAATGCAAACATATATGGTCTCACCAGTTATTTAGATGACTATATTAATAACACCTTACGCCTTCTTCCCCCACATTTATTAATTTTAATTGATTGCCGTGGTGTAATCTCACGCAAAAGAAAACAGCTATGAACTGTTCGCCATAGATATCAACTTGTATTTCGTTGGTGCACATTACAATTTATGTTGCTTTTTCTGTCGACAAAAGAAATCTTTTTATTTTCTATAGCAAAAATAACGAGCATGCGCTTGGCTACAAAAATTGTTATGATGTTTCTAAGCGGTAACATATTTAATATTTAATATCTAATATATTTAATCAAAATATATAATTAGGTATGTTTGATCGTACAGCTATGGTGTCTGTAGATGCAGCGATAATTAATTAGATGCATTCGGGCTATCAAATACAAACTTTTTTTTTAAAGTACATGCGTATATCCGGCTATGCTATGCATAAATAAGTAACTGTGAAACCGTAGTAAAAAAAACAATCAGGTTGTGAAAGACAATAGAAACGCGTACGCAGTGAGCCTATTGTGGCTTATGTATTATCTGTCTATTGAATCAAGTTGGGATATATCGTACTTATTTGGTGCTCTAACCAATAGCTTCACGTGGATAAGTGAATGACTTTTGGCAATTCCGCATTGGTTAATTGACGTTCGATAAGAATGTTATATATATGTGTGTGTGTTTGCGAATTAGGCGCAAATACTTTTATTCATATAATTTTAAAGGGGTCCTTATAATCTGTTGCTGTTAATATACGTGCTTACTTAATCATATCATGATCCTTATAGACATTATAACTTAGCATAATTGCATAGAAAATACATAATAATAATGCCATATTTAGACAAGTAGCCTTTGTATAGACATCTGCCTCCGAATGCGAGATTCAGCTCGCTTTGTCTGATACCAAAAACTTTTCACCATCCTTGGCGTACGACCAGGGAGACTTGAGGCAATTCTACTCCATTTTGGGCCGTACATATTATACATGGTCTCGATAGTGTTGCGTTCGAATGAGTCAAGTGGGCTGTTATTGACTGGCATAATGATAGAATGTTCATCAACATTGTGTCACTACACACACTAAATTAGTAAAATCGTGATATTAGGTAACTTACTGCCTGGGTATAGTGCATTGTACCACCTAGAGTGCAACACGGGATCATTGGAAGTTACCCCGAGTTAATAACGATAGTTGTAACGGAGAGAAGTGAGTAAAATAAAGCATTGGCGGCCCAAAAATCTTTGAAAACACTGAGAATTAATATCATGTTATCTAAGCACCTTTCAGAACACTGTCTCGCAGTCCTAGTTTTCATACAACGCGAGATCAATCTCCATGCAGGCCCCAAAGAACTATAGAGTTCGATAAGCCGGTCATCTTCCTGTATGGCAGCAGAAATTAGTGTATGAGATAATCGACTACAGTCAAAAGTAAAGTAATAATGTGAATGCCAAGAAATTACCTGGTGGTTCCAATACTTTCTCATAGCGACTAATAGAAGGTAATTGTATAATGAGAAACGCAGACAGTAGCTATGATAATAGCAATTCGTAAACATGCCATCTTACCTTCAATACTTGAGAATTGGTATAATAAAGTACCAAAGATGCGGAGAGAAGCAATAGATGTTAATTAATTACCGTGCTTTGGACTTGAGTGTGGTATTTATAAATTTTGGGTGGTTTCAAAAATGGTCTCTGCCTAAAGCAGAACGGCTTATTTTATCATTATTCGGTTAAACTGGTTTATAAATTTTCGGTGAGTATATTCCGACAGAGGTCCCTGCACATCCAATAAGCAACCCAAACATGATGTAATATTATTCGGTCATTACGTATGGGGCTTATTTAGTCTCCTACCATAAAATGGTCCGAAGTGTCCTATTTAACACCTTTAATACTTCGTCAAAATTTTTTGCAGGTATGTTGAAGAATGTAGTACAGCTTGTAATGATATATGCCTTAATAGGACTATGAAACTTGTAGAAGCGCGTTAAGTAATAATTTATTTTATCTTGTATAAAACGCAGGCCAGACGTCTGCATGGGAAGACCAATGTAAAAGTATATTTAGTTATGTAATAATACTAATTCGGATTATTTATCTTACAAGTGGCAACCTTGTGCAGGTATAACGAATAAGATAGACAAACGTAAATAAAGTTTAACAATGAGCGGATAAAACCTGAACGCCCGATTCCTGAAAAAAAAATTTTTTAATTTAAACCTTTATATAATTGTGCAATCTTAATAAACGAATTATTTGAGTTTTGTCACTCTCCGTATTCTTGCAAAAACCATGGCTGGATAAACTCTTAGCACAAGCGGCACCAATAATAAAAAATATGGTACAACTTTATTTTGGGATATCGCAGCACAAATATTATTGAGACTCCCAACTCATTTTACAAAAAAAGAATAGGTTATCTCAATAACAGTGTCATAACTTTTTGATACTTTTCTTGCATTGAAGGAGTGTTTATGATATGTACTTAATCGTAATTAATTATCAAAGTAGCCACGACAGCAAACAACAAACAAATAAACAACAATGTTAACGCCCGCCGCTATTGCCACCACTTCACCTTAACAGCACGCTCACAACAATAACACAACAATAGTACTATGACTACTACTATTATCAGAGCACTCTATTGTTTAAACGGCCGCAGCCTGACAACAATGTTAGTTAAAATAAACTCCTAAAACCCGGCTGTTTAATCAATTTACAGTTACATAAACAAAAGGATAAATAGCGTTGAAATCCGGTCCAAACACTCTTTGTTAAAATATTCTCCGAGTTGTTAATAAAAAGACATGAAGAAAATGGATTATCCCGAAGAAATTGCCGAGGCGCGAAAAGCTGTTCCAACTCCGACAGAAGTAAAACCCAATTAACTCAAGTTACTTTGTTAACTATTTGAAGACAATAAAATAAAATTTACAATGGTCAAGTCTCTACATCGGCTTTGCAGAAACTGTTGAATTCAAATGAGCTGTTGTCCCCGTGTTTGTTATCCTATCATATGTCAAAACAAACCGTTTTTGTTCTAATTAAACACCCGCTTGTTTGCGGTTGGAAGAAGCTTCACAAAGTAAATCAAGAACGTGGTTTTCGGAGTAAATAAAGAATGTGGGTTTCGGATTTTTCCGAGGGAGAATAACTTGAACACATGATGATCGAATAAGGTTTATCAGGGGGGGAGACAAATAGGTAAAAACAGGGTTTGTGTACATCATTGATGATCAGTAGGCTTGTCACATATTTGCTAAAAGCGTTATTCGCACAGCTGCGTAAACCTCGGTTATGTTTCATCGATCGTGCTTGCAGTCTCCGTATGGTTAGTTGGAGCTGTTATTGTTAAACTTTTGCAGTCTGCAGAATGCAAATTACGCAATTGAAGACCTCGTTTTGTATTTCCATCTATCCTTTGAGGTTAGTACAGTTATCGCTTTGTAATATATACCACACAAACCATAAAATTATGTCATATTTATAGAAAACTGCCAGCAAAGGTAAAACAAATTACGTTCAGTGCCAAAAATGAACATTAAGGATTTGATGAAAAATGAGTGTCGCTTTACTGTTTATACACAATCTGTCACATGAGTTTTAATAATGGGGCAATGGATTGCGCCACGAAGCGATATCACATGAAATTTTTATTATTTGTATACTTTTAGTAAGATATGCATTCATCAGTCGTATTAATCTTGCTAATTATGGATTAAGTTTTGACTTGTAATCATTCAGATGAACTGGCGATTACTTCAGACGCTTTTACAAAGAAACAATTCGCTACCTTTGACTTCCTTTTCGTCCTCCGTCATTAACTGAAGAATTTGCTTGGAAAATTTTTTTTCGCTTCACGAGATTTATTTTCAAAGTTGCTTAATGAACGTCAGTCCAGTAAAAACGATAGCAGTAAAGTTTTGGTATCTTTCCTTGTGAAACAACTTTCCGCTTTCGTCAATATAAACGAAGGCTTTAAGCAAAGCGAGTTTGTACAGTTTGCATCTTTATCCGGTACGTGGCCATTTAAGACGTCTATATCGAATCTGGGGTTGAGAAAAAAAACACGCACACGACTGTTTTTCTCTCTACTCACACAAACATCTTTACCCAATACTTGCCATGATAAGAGAAAACTAAAACATAGGTACTTGCCAAAAGGAAATGTCTGCAAACGTTTTGGCATTTCGCACATCTGTTCCATTAATGTAATCTGGTTAGACATGGCATTTTGCGAGACAGTTTCCATAACTCTCAGTAAGTAAAATATCTTTTGTTTGCCGTCAAATTATGTTCGACGCCTGGGAAAGTAGCTTGCTTAAGTTGTCAGGTAGTTACCTATTATTTTTAAACTCACGTTAACAATTTACTGTGTTAGGATTGTGTACTTGATCTACTCTATAATACCAATAATATCAAGGCTGGATGTCAGTTTTAGATGGGAATTTATGTTCTGACCGTAGCGAAATCCTGCTCGATTCGAAAATAGGCACATTGTCTAATATAAGCGACATCTAATCAACATTGTTTATGCTTGGTCCGATTGAATTTCGTTACGGGCCAGAACATTTATGTCAATTCCAAACGAAATATGTCAGATGGGAATAGCAAAGACAATCAGGTAACATTATAAGAGTATAATGAAATAGTAATGCTCGATTAAAAGATTTTATCACAACAGCAATTGTTGGATGATGGCAATGAATGCAAATGTACAAAATTTGTAGGTGGCAATTTGACGTATCACAACTATATTGCTTACTCATGTAATTACTGTATCAGGCAAATGACAATGGAGGTAAGGAAATGCAAAAGATATAGGCTTTTGAAACGAAAACCTTCCTGTCGTAGAGTGACGCTAATCCTGGATATATTAATTGTGGGGTACAATAGTATTTTTAATTATAATAATAATGCGCATCTACATAGCAATTAATTATCGTAATTTGCCACTCAGGCGATTATTCTTCATCGATATAGGGATTAGCGGTTTCTCAGCTACACAGTGAAAGTCGATAGGACGGATTCCTCGGGACAGTGTACAAATCCGTTATATCGTGACACTCAGTTATAATTCCATTATATTGAACAATGTCTCGTTAAGCTCCGTTTATCGAAAAAAATTCGTACTAATACTAAGCGAAATCCGTTATATCTTATATCGACTTTCACTGTGTATACCGACAAGTTACCAGGGAATGAATCATTAACAATGTATTTCAGAGTATAAAGAACTACACATTTATTTACAATAAAGGAATCGAGAGTAATTAGAACATTCTAAACATGCACTGACTTTCAATCTAACTGAAATCTATACATCTTTCGAGCGGCAGCGTACTGATTATCTAAGCTATTGTCCTCAGTATACGTTGCTACTTTCACAGCGATGCTGGTATTGCCTACTGCAATTCCGCAGCTGCGGTTGATTTCTGTGACACAGTCGGAGTTACGCAGAAATTCAGAATACGTCACCGTTTACACCGTTAGCATCACAGCAAACATGAAGTTACGTGCATGTGTTGTGCTTCAGTTTGGGACCCGTCTCAGTTCTGGACTGAGATGACTGGGTTCTGGAGTTGTGGACTGATATGGTCCGAACTGAGGTACAGCACATGCAGTTACAGTACAGCAATAAGAACCCACAGTCAAAACAAAAACAACAGAACCAAGAACGAGAAAAACAATGCACAAAGCAACAATTGCTATAATCTTTGGAGAAGAATTTTCTCGTTTTCAACGCTTATATTTTACATGGTTAAGAGCTGGATGTTAGGGTACCAGTCAATCATACAGTAAGTCTTACGTGATGTTGCAGAAAAATTTTGTCGCCAGAGTTGGATCCAACGACTATTCCAAATACCAAGCGTCGTTTCGCAACATTTCGAGGAACGAAGACAAATTTATTTCCCCATTTTTTTTGAAAACCCGTAAACAGCAACAGTATCTAAAAGCTGGTTATGAGAAGTGGCTTTCAGAGTTGGGAGAATAGCCTGCTCACTGTTTTCTGATAGATGTTAATTGCGAGTACCTCGAGAAACGAAACAGTTTTTAATAATTGTATTCAGGAACAAAACTTTTCAGCATCCCATTATTTTATTTATAACTCAAGATATAGAATAATTTCCTCAAACCCGTATAATAAGAAAACTATTCGAAAAGTTTTACTTGACCTCACCTCCCTCTTCTTTGTTCACATTGTTCGCCCGTCAGTAAAATTTTACTTCCTAATTGTTATAAGAGTATATTGCAAAGTTTAACTACCAGAAAAGACTTTTGAATTCAACCAAAATGTGCTTTTATTAAATTTTTCCTAACACTAAATAAAATATAAACGTGTTGTGTCTGAGTTGGGACCTATCTCAGAGTCCAGAACTAAAACAGGTCTCCAACTGAGGAACAAGTAAACCTTTTGCGCGTATAGTGTATGACAAACTTAATTATATGTAAAATTTCAGTTCGATCGACTGTCTCCGGAAATTTTTCAAATACCAAAGCTTTTACCTTAAGATATCTCGCGATTTCGGCCATAAGAATTCAAAAATGGCAACATGATAATATTATACTCGTTTATTGCAAGTATAATAACGATTTTTTTCTAATTCGACCACACATCTTAAGAAACACGTAGGTATTGATTTGACAAGCAAAAAAAAATCACGCAAATTGATTAGAAATATGGATTTTTGAAGTTTATGTCGAAATAAACGATGTGCGGCTTTGATTTGAATGTTTGGAAATTTTTCTAGAGACATCCGATTGAGCTAGAATTTTACAGGTGATGATGGTTTGTAATACTTACGCTCGCTATCGTAATAATAAAAAAAAAATTTTTTTTTTTTAATTTCTTACATGTTCCACACTTGTCATGCCAAATATCTGGGGAAGCGATGGTATACGACACTTGAGATTAATTTCTATTCGAACCTTTCTTTCTACGGGCAAGTTTATTCTTCTCCGGTAAGTTATGATAGGGTTTACCGGCTCACATACGCCTTTAATAATTAGGCTCGTATGCAGTCTTAAGGAAGTATGCTAAACTAGCACTGCTGCTACCTTTTATACAATAAAACCGAAGAAATATTGATTTAATAGATTATGTTTGTTTTACTTCTCGTCAATTATATCCCATGTTTCAATGATGTACTCAATAGTATATTTGTGTGTTTATTATTAACTCTCTATCTATTAGTCTCGTAACATCCGAATAAGTTGTTATTCAAACATAATAATCACACTCGTTGAAAAAAAGGTCCGGACAGAGTTTTTTTAAGGCGTTCAGCTTTTGGGATGTCGAGCCAATACTCGGGGGAGAGCGGAACGAATATTGACCTTGAGATTTAACCTTTTTCCAACGAGATCCTTGACTATCTCTGCTTCGGTTAAATCCGCGTTGACAATTTTGGTGACCTTAATTTATTGGGTTTAAACGCTCACGAATTGAGTTCGATCTTGCGTACGCTTTCTCTGGATTTCTAATCAACCTCGAGTAAATACGTCTATTTCTCTCGGTGGGATAAATGTCGAAAGCCTATAGGTTGGAAACTATTCTACTAATCGCAATGTCGCATGTCGTAATTAATTAGAAATCTTTATTGTCAAGGGGCCGACAGCTTCCTGTACAGTTTCGGTTACTCTTTTGGTAAGTACGAGCAGTTCTAGTGTTAGCTTTTATAGAGAAAAGGTTTTCAATTACTGGCAATTACTGGACGTTTACAGGCGAACGCTAACAAAAGTTGTTGTCATTTAGCAGTTGTATAGCAATATTGGCAATTTTATTGGGATATTAGTGAAGATTTACGTTGAAGGATAGTTTATCTTCATTTTGATGGCTTTTCTCTCGGGCCATAGTTTGAATGTTGGGGAATCCCTTCAAGGGGATGCGTGGACGTGGAAGGATTCTTGATCGTCATCACTCGGAAAAAGGTTTGCATGTTACAACTGAGTAAGAAATAGAAAATCTCACTAATAAAACTTTCTTGTAGTTACATAAAGCCGCTATGGAAAGAATGAATTGCTTCGTAGTCCTTTTATCACTAAAATTGGAGAATCATATTCACCCGAGCAACTCATGAGAGCGCGAAGGATATTATCTTTTGCAAGCCGTACATATTTGCTGTGGCACTTGAAACAAAAAGAAGATTAGGAAGATAATGCGACATAATTCGTAACTTTCTCTCTTTTACAATTACAACTATCAAATTTATTATCTGTCTCACATAATAAAAAAGCATAACATAAAGTCATGATCGAAATATTTGCAGAACATGATATTTTTTTATTATACGATAATCTATGCATTCTGATTGGCCAATTAGTGTTTTCGAAAATTTTCGTTTGTGTGTGTGTACCGTCGGGGTTTTCCATAATTTTGAAAAGTGCGATAAGAAGCATATAGCCATACTTGCCTGAGAAACAACCAATAAGTTGAATTATATAATTAAGGAGGTTGTTTCTAAAATCTATTGATTTCTAACAATACTACTTTATTTTAAGCTGCATTTACAGAAGTAAAATATATTTATTTAAATGAATGATAAGACAAGAAAGTATTGTACAATAAGAAGCGTCGGTGATTATGCAATCAGCCGCAATGATTTGCAAATCTTCCCCTTTTTATCGCTAAAACAAACCGGTTTTCTGACCGGTAATATACGTTCCATTCAAATAAAGCATTTTTAAATGTGTGTGGACAAAATACAGTGACACCTCTATAAGTGCACCCTCCATAAGTGCACACCCTCCCTATATGCGCATGGGACTTAGAGCTAAGTGCGCACCCTCCATGTTCTTACACGTGCAAGCGATTTTGAGTCCCAGATAGCCTCCATAGGTGCACACACGTGACATTTAAAAAAGGTCAGCCAATTAATTCAATGCAATAGTGACATTAGTTTACTTATTAGTGCTAGTAAATATACTCGTGCTTATAAAACTGTAAATACATTGACATAATATATTTACTGAAATAGTAAAAAATTTAATCACATTTTCCAAATTAAACAAAGATGACATAAACGCCACAATGATACAATAAATAATTATCGTAAATAGTTGCTGAAGAGAATATTATTTATGAAGTTCCCGTCAACGACCACGAACTTGTATATCTCTTTAAGGATACTGATCAAGCAATTGCGGATGTAGACGACATAGATGATAGTGAGAAAAGTCCTGTTATTAGCGCTAGCACAGCAATCGCTAGCTTGGAAATAGTACGTGCCTTTCTTTTACAACAGGACAATGCGGAAGAATACAGTATATACCTCTTTACAAAATATTGAGGAGTTTGTTGACGTCAGGAAAAAACATTGACACTTATTTTTCTTAAAGTGTAGTCTGACTTCGATGTGATAGTATAATTTTGATAATAAGATAATAAAGAGAAAGTACAGTCGAACCTCGTTATACCAAAGTGTCGGGGGAGGCATCCATGATTCGGTATAACGAGATATTCGGTATAGTGAGGTACCCCTGTATAACGAAGTTAGGCCTAAGGTCAAACAATATTAATATTCGGTATAATGAGACTTATGTGAATAATATCTTTACTCTAATTATATTACGTCTCAGAATTAATCGTATGATCGAAAATTGCATGATGGAAGTGATGACTGAATTTAAAAAACAATAGATACGAAATACGGCTTGATCAAAAATATTGGCGCATAGCTAAAATCAATATCCTCATCTGCTACAACCAACCAATCACTATTCTACAATTTTATCACGTGATAAAACTTCGGTATAAAGCGATTAGTAGCTTATGTAAAAATCCTGCATCGAACTTCGGTAACGGTATAACGAGATTTTACTATTAAATTCGTTATAACGAGGGAATTTTACTATTTAAAAAACGGGGGAGCCAGAATCCCTTCGGTATAACGAAAATTCGGTATAACTGTACTAGTAACTATTCTGTGTAACAGTTTTCTGGCCGTTGTTCTATAATAATAAGTGCACTTAGGGAGGTGTCACTAAATACCGCATCGTAACACACACACACACACACACACACACACACACACACACACACTCTCTCTCTCTCTCTCTCTCTCTCTCTCTCTCTCTCTCTCTCTCTCTCTCTCTCTCTCTCTCAATGATCGACTGTACTGAAGTTCTCCGAATATCACATGAGACCGACTTATCGAGGGTAATCATTAAAAAAGGTTGGCCGACTTACAGCTTTACATATGTCGACCGACTGACTGAAGTCATGTAGCGTCTGGTTTTCTATGAGTGCACTTAGGGAGGTGCCACTGTATTTGATTCAAGCATCTTAAAATTTTACCGATCTGACAAATATAAAGGTTAGGTTTATTCCTCCCTCCCTCAGTATATGTAAATTCCAAATACAGGGGCTAAAGCAAAAATGGTATTATGTGTAACAAGCCACAAATTTGCGGTGCATGAACACGCATACACAGTCACTCTCGACAAAGATGAAGTCGGGCTGGACCAAAACAGTCATATTATCGAGAGTTCATTATAACGAAATCTTTTTATATATTATATAACTGACTCGGTTCCAGAAAAAACCTCATCTTAGGCCAACGTCATCTTATCAGGGAATCATTATATCGAGAGTGACTGTGTACACATGTTGTACCTCAGTTGGGACATATCTCAGGTTCTGGACCGAGACAACCGAGTTCTGGGCCGACTGTCTACGTTCGGAACTGAGACAGGTCACAAACTGAGGTACAACATGATACATAGAAACAAACCCTCTAGCCAAATATCACTTTAGACTCAACATAGCAATATCAGCAACTTTATTTATCTTATGTACTATATGTAAAAGAATACTCATACTATTTAATTTGATATTTGGTGAATAAAGGAGGGTGAATAGAACACATATACACTACTTGGATAATAGCTTCTGTTGGTTCAATTAAGTAGACGAGTTATCGCCATTTGTTGACGAATACTACGAACGGCTTCATTACGAATGCGAGTATCTTCTGCACGTCTCATTGAGTACCAGCAATTCTTCACCTTTTGAGAAGTGCGTCCGGGAAGTTGGGAAGCGATGCGACTCCATCTCGGGCCATATATATTATGCAGATATACAATCAATTGACGCTCGAATAGCGTAAAAGGACCGGAATTTACTGGTTGAAGTAACAAAATGTGATACAACGAGTTAACACATACGACAAAGGGTAGTTGGGAGAAGAAGAAAAAAGGTTAAATTGTAACTTACTTCCAGGACTGAGTGTGTTGCGCCATCTATCAGCACATTCTCTCGCATTCTTGGTTTTAATTTTCCGCGCAATAGCTATCCAAGCCGAACCAAGCCGCTTATGAAGCCTAATTAAGGCTTCATCTTCCTACAAATAAGACAGCACTTACTATGTGTAACAATTTGTCGTAATAGAACAACCCATTGTACTAATTTTACCTGCGGAGACCAGTTTGTCATGTCGACCAGTACACACTGAAATGATTGTAAGCGTAAAAGTGGTGGTATAGTATAGAGACCTCCTGCCTAATTAAAACCGTAGTGTCTTTCTAGCGATTATGATGCGAGTGTATAATTTGAACTGTTTTTGCTTTATAGCAAGTCATAGATAAAGAAAGATAATGATGTCTAGTATTGACTTCAACCGCAGTAAAGAAGAATGGTTTTGATTATGAGATGTCGTCAGGTGGAGTGCAGATAGTGTTAATCAATTCGAGCGTGAGCAACCGATACGATGCTTGCAGCCTTTTTATCGCGTAATTCTCAGTGGGCTGAAAATTAGAGTTTATGCTTACGGAATTTTCTCCGAGGACCCTACATTCTTTGACGTGGGACCCTGTTACAGTTATAGTCACTTCGACAATAGGTGTACGTGCATACATACACATATGCATATATCCTCGATTGTATCATGATTCCAAAGCAGAAGAAGAAGAAGAAACTTGTTGGGCATTGCCATTCTCATAGTAAATAGACAGCAACCAATTGCGCTCTACTGGATAAAACCAATGCCTACTTATGCACAGTGAAATGGAGATATTAATTTAACCTGAAGGTTTGCCCAAGTGAACTGTCTTTCTATGAATTCGTTCTGAGAAAAATTTCGTTATAAAGCAATCTTTGTTAAAGTGAATTTCACTGCGTATATAGCTTTTATAACTGTAGTGGGATTCATAAAGTACTAATTAATATACTCTTCTTATTATCGTAACAGTAGTGTAAACTAATATATTCCTCCTCCATAACACTTAATATTAAGGGGGTTTCTTGCCCAGGACATTAATCTGAAACAAAAAAACCCAAATTTGTATTCGGCCGAATGGACCCTTGCATATCCAAATTCCTTTGTCAACCCGTAAATGGGAATTTTTGATTGTTATGCCGATCGTTAGATTGCATGCTACTCCTTATCGCACATGACGATCAATCGTTTGCATAACGAAAGGGAAAAAAGAATGTATGTGATCGGTAAGTTCATCATTCTCATAAAAACACCGATCAGCCAACCTTCGTACAGAAGCACGGACAGCGTTTCTGATTACAGGAAGCTTACGTAAACACAATAAGTGTCCGTTCCCCCAGACAACTCGAAACAATCGTTAAGCATGCATAAGTGGAAAAACGCCATCTTGCGTCGTCTGTTAAGGGACAAAATTTATTCCTACACTAACATAACATAATAGACATGTAATGCGATGTAAAAAGATAATGCAAGGTTTATTAATTTCTTCATGCGTATATCCTATTAATTAATATAATTGCTTCTACTTGCATAATGCATATATTAAACTCTATATTTTGTTAACAGTACTTTAAAATCATATCCCCTCCCATGTTATTTGCTTTTTCATATTGCTTATCCATAAAAAAAAACGCGATCATAATTGGGGCTGCTAGGAAAGAAGCCGCTGGACAGCCATTTTCCCGCGTATTCTCGCAGCCTCTTCATCCATATCCTTTAAAGAAAGCCAGCATTCCATACACATTTGAGGAGAGCGGTGAAGAACTGCGGAAATTCTTCCCCAGCGAGGACCACATAGCCGATACAAATACCGAATCTTATTACACTCAAAAGGGGCGAATGGTCTGTCGATATCTGTTGGAATATACAACGTAAACAAGTTGTGTTGGCAAGTTATGGGCTAAATGTTCGTACAGCGGGCGCGTAAATAATACTGTTACATACATCCTTGAATATTTTTCCATCTCTCCGCACATTGTTTGGCGGTCTTGTGTTTCAAATATGTCGTCCTCATTCTTCTCCTATTTCCTCTGTTGCCAAGTCTAACAAGGATATCATCTTCCTGTGTATACATGGATATTAGACGTTAACGAGTATACACCAGAAACGACTTGTTATAGTTGGAAAATATACCTTTGACGACCAAGCTTTGCTCATACTTTTAATTACAGCAACCGTAAATGGTATTTTTGTGGTATTTTCTGACTTTGACCAGACAACCTATTAAATACTCTGAGCTGACCAACAATGTAAGAATCTCTCGAAGAGCGCTGTATCGTTGTAAAAAGCCAACGACGACGAACTAAATCTTGTTGTAATTTATAAACGTTTTGACAGTGTGTTATGAAAGAACACAATGAAGACTAAACATTTCCGACGATCAAATATGTATTAGTCCAATGCGCTGCAATCCGAGTATTTATTATCATAAAATAACAAAAATAATAGACAGCGACAATAGGATTGTCCCCCGTTTGTTCAAGACACAAGTCAGTTTATTCACATGATGTATCGTTAATGTCAATTGTCGCACAACTAACCACTCGCCTTCATTCCTAAATGTAAACAAATACAAATAACCAATTTGCAACAGTAAACAATTGCGTGGATAAATAATTATCCATATTTGTTGAAAAAAAGTGAAAGAGATCAAGCCAAGTGGAATCGATCGATCATAGCAATAGGGAAATGGTGTAATAGCGTAAATACCTTTTTAAAACACGGGCCAAAAATAGTAGAGCATGTCAATGTTTTATTATCGGCTATATCAGCACATCACAACACTCGCACGGTTCAAAAGTAACACGGCATTGGCATATTTGAATATTCGTCAGAAAGTGTCTGAACCGCCAAAGAAGTATGTATGAGAATTACAGTACTGATGTTATGCCATTTACAATGCTTTATCTAATGATAAACATGCTTGATCTTGCAACTTTGTTCATTTAACCCCTTCAAGTCATGGAAGTACAAATATATCACTAGAGATTTTAAGTTCCGAGAACGACAAAGACCAATTGCCGTTGTGGAACCCGAACTTGCTCATGGGATATGACAAAGAAAGGTTGCTTGCAAGATTGTATCTGATAAGTAGCTGTGACTAAATGGGTTTATCAAATGTTTGACAACATGGACAAAAAAATTTTTTTTACCGACGTAATTAGCTTCGGTGATGCTTAATAATACACAATATACATAATAATAAGAATACTTCTCGTTCTGCTGAGGTCATGAGACCACGAGACGAAACAATGTATTCGATCCTATTGTTTATCATAGCATACCGGTCATTGCAGACTTTGTATTAATGTGTGGCGATGAATTTAATAATCTTTTCATGAATGTGAAAAACCTTTGGTCTCTGGTTTCATATTCGGCAAGCCATAGTAATAGTATTTTTATAATCAACAGTGCATTGATTTACACACGTGAAATTCGGTTTCCATTTCCGAATGTATTGTTTGTACAATACAATATGATGCATTTTTAACAAGATTATGATTGATTGCTCCTGTGGATAGTCTATTTTGCTTTGCCTTTGTAAGACTCTTCCTCCAATCTGCAGTCTTTTTCTCCCCCAAGATTTCCATTGCCGAATTCGACTTTCTGACAACGGGTAACGTAGTCGTCACAATGCACGCAAACGAAGGGTTGAAATGGTACCGATAATATTGGTTTATTGTCAACACCAAAAGACCAACTGTAATAAAGGAGCCGCCAAGAGAGACAGATGCAAAGCTGTCCTGTCCTGTCCTGTCCTGTCCTGTCCTGTCCAAACCCATAAGTGTTGCGTAGAAACACAAGTGTGTGTAGGTGTTTCTTTAACTTGACCATCCGTTAATATCCGTCATTATCTCAATATCATTGTATTGTTTACCACATGTTTTTTTGCGTAACAAAAACACTGCACGCCCCTGCAGTTTGTTCCGGGCAATTTTCGGTTTGGTCATATGCATCAGATCACACTTCCAGGAGAAATAGGCAGTCATATGATAGCGAAGATCTATTTATGGAACACTGTTGTCTTTTGCCATATAGACAAACGAAGAATGTGGATTCAGACGTCGATTTGATTTCTCGTATTCGATCAAGACGATAGAGTAATATTACTTAGATAAAGCATTTATCTATTCAATTATTTTGTTACGTCCAATGTCTTTCCTTTTTAATATTAATGGCAAACTCGCACATATTATTATACATCAAAATGAACAAGTTCTCCCTGTAAGCAATTACAAACATGCTCGTTGGGCAAAAGTCTCCGTGATTGGTTGAATAAATTAACAAATGCATTTTAATTGTTTAGCAGATTTTTAGAGGTCCTTTGATTATTACACATATATATTTTGAAGAGTTATCATTTTCAACTACAAACGAGCGGTAAACAAACCTAGCACAATCGCCAAGTCGTTTTCCCTCCTCCCAGAACCGAATTCAATTTGAGCAATATAACCTGCATACTAGTACTACGACTCATCGAATTAACATCATCAACAAAAGAGTTTTCAAGAAATAAATGTTTCGTATTTGATGGGAGCGGTCTATATCGCTGCTACTAAACGACAAAAATAGGCTTTGCGCTTTGTGAAGTACAGTCAATTCTCCATAAATACACTCTCTCCATAAATGCACACTCTCCACAAATGCACACTCTCCACAAATGCACATTCTCCACAAATGCACGCCTTACCTTATCCAAGCTCGGAAATTAGAGATAAATGCACACGCCCTCTAAATGCACGCCCGTGATTTTCATGTGATTGCACTGACGATGAGTGTACAAAAGGGAGAAGGGGGTTGGTATGCCTGAAATAAACTCAATAAGGACCAATTTCTATCAGCTTTATCTTATCTTGAATCTTTGAGTAACAGACGGATAAATAATTTCCTAATCATTGTGGAAGCAAAAGCATGTCGCTAATTATAGATGCTTATGATATTAGACTAAACTGTTCGTTTATTTCTGCAGCAACAACAAGACTTTAAAAAGTTGCTAAATATGTGAACGTTACTATTACATTAATTAAAGGTAATAACCTTTATCGAGTCACGTAAAACCAATAAAATGCTGACCCTTCGTAAATGCATTCCTCCATAAATGCACGCATTTATAAAGGGTTGGCTGTACTCTTTTCTTTTCAAAAAACCGCAAATTAAATAGTATCAAAGACTTTTTTATCTAAGTTTGAAGTGTATACTAATCTGTTTCATTTCCGTCAAAACTCCCTATACGTAAAAGCATACTATTGCATTTATTAGGATCAGTCCGCGAGAAAACTGACAAAAAAATTGGACTAGATATACCTCAGTAACTTATTTATCAAAAGTGTGAGGACTATGACGTATCTTTCCATTATTTCTGTACCATTATCGGTCGGGATTAACATCCCAAATAGCAAAATGGGAAATACTAACAGCTACGCATTCGCTAACAACAATTCGCAAGCAAACGACGTCTTCACATCTTCAAATCAAAAATTTTTTTTTTTCGATAATTAGCTCTTAGCATTAATATTTTAATTCTAATAAACACACATTTATAGGTAATCGTGCCGATAGAGCCAGAGACCGTTAATCCCTTAATTGGCAAATACGATTATTATTTAATTGAAAAATGCGGTTTAATGGTTTACACTTGTACCCCACCCTATCGCCATAGGCCACTTAGTCTAATCCTGCTAATAGAAGTAGTAATAGAAGTAGTAGTAGTAGTAGTAGTAGTAGTAGTAGCAGTAATCAATATCAAATAGTAATCCAGAATTAACGTAAACAATATGCTACAGGAGTTGTGAGGCTCGATTGAATAACTAAAGCTCAGGTGATAGTCATGTTCTCCCGTGGTTATGGACTTGTTGTGCCTGAGTTTGGGACCTGTCTCAGTTCGGACTCAGTCACTCAGTCCAGAACCCAGTTGTCTCGGTTCGGAACCCAGACACTCAGTCCACAACTGAGATATTCAGATCATCCCAGGAATGGCATTATTGTTTTCTGTCAATGCCTGTTCTTGAATATGTCTTCAACATCAAATTTTAATTGCTGCTTCTTATTCCTATTATTCATAAATTTGCATTTCATAAGTATTTGTTGTACCTGCTGAAAAACAAGCTCCTGTAATTGGTATAATCTATCTTGCTAGTTAGTTATTTAATTCGGTCTGTAAGTATTAGAAAACAAGAACAAAAACTAGATAATCAATCTAATAAAGAAACTCAAATTGAGACACGTCTGCTGACGTGTTCTGATCATAAACCTTCATTCTATTGTGTTATCGGACATGTTTCTCTTGACACAGATTAATTATTATAATAGAAACACAATGTTTCTTTATACTTCTTCTATTTTTCGATTTTCACCTTTTTTTTGCTTTTTGTTGTAAGTTTTACGTAATAAATCTTATATAATCATATGTAAAATTTTAGATAATTGCTCTATTTATTTAGATAAACATCCGAGTCAACAAAACATTTACGTTGCTTTATTAAAAAATTGTTCGAGAAAGGGGAGAATTATTTTGCAAGCGGGACAAATTAGTAACACCAACGCAGTTAGCAGTTACAGTACACATATAATCGGTAATTTAATGTTTAGAGTGTTTTATAAAACAATTGCTTTTGAATTAAATAAACAAGAAAATTAAGCAATTGAAATGTGAAAAGCGAAAAAACCCTTTTTTAAGAAACTGTTGAGGCTCTCTTCTGTCACTAGCCAACGAAGAGAACTAGTTCTCATAGATGCCATTATTACATAAGAAAAATAAAAAACAAATTATCTCATTTTGACAAGTTTATAATGGTTTTGCTGAGATCATGTCAAAACTAAAAAAAATTTTGATAGTCAAAAAAATAGCAATTTTTATCATAAGACGCTTGACATATTCAGGACCTCAACATTTATAACAAGTTGCTCTTATCATTTTTAGAGAAAATTGAATAATTAGAATTGTTAGCAAAAAATTAATAAAATAAATGCAGATTGTAGTACATATGGCATTCAACAATTCTCAGCATTATTTTCACTTTACCTAGTTCCGTTAAATTATACCCACATTATCATAGTAATACAGCACCTTTGTACTGTATATCCATATGTTTAATAATTAAATTAATGGTCTATATAGTTTATTAGCCAAATGTTAATTATTGTGACAGATTAAAACG